AGTAGCTGGGACTACAGGCATGCGCCACCATGCCCGGCTAATTTTTTCTGTATATTTTTAGTTGTCCAGATAATTTCTTTCTATGTTTTTTAGTAGAGACGGGGTCTCGCTCTTGCTCAGGCTGGTCTCGAACTCCTTAGTTCAAACAATCCACCCACCTCGGCCTCCCAGAGTGCTAGGATTACAGGCGTGAGCCACCGCGCCGGCCAGATTTTTCTTTCTTAATGATGAAACAAACAACAACCAAAACAAAAAGAAAATGTCTGTCACTAGACCAAAGGCCTCTGGAAAATCCGACCTGAGCTTCTGAGAAAGGGACGACTGAAATACTGTTTTCCACCAGGATGGTTGCAATCTCCCCTTCCAGATCTCCGATTTTTCCTAAAACACGCACAAAATGTCCATTTGGATACACGGACGTTGACTCCCAAGAATCGATGCGCACAACCACCCTGAAATCCTGCACGAAGGGAAAAAAGAAAACAGCAGAGCACCGGAAGTTAAATGGGTCAATGACAAGCATCAAACAAACGAGATAAACAGCACCGAGTTCCAAAGAAAGCGGCCAATTTACAATAGTGGTGTGTGGTGGGTTTTTTTTTTTTTTTCATTATTCCTATTACTAAATTGCCAGATGGTTTGTAAATGCTTGGCCCAGGGCTTTGAAGAGAGCCATCACCTCTCTACATCAAACAAGTGGGCTGGAAATTTCAGTCTGCTGAAGAGAGCCAACTGTAATACATTCGAGTTAACGCTTGCAACACAAGGGGAAAACTCAATTATGCATGGTCCAATTAAAGTTTTAAAACAGAAGTCTCAATTTTTTGTGTGTGTTACTTCCTAATTTTTTTGAAGTCTAAAGATGCAGTTTGGTGGGGAAGGAGGTATCAGGGTTAACTGAACCCCCACTGCCGCCAAATTCCAGCAAACCATGGAAATGGAAAATGTAATAATCCCAACTGGCCTGGAGAGCCTGCAATAAGCTTTAAGATGTAAAAGGGACGAGGACCAGGTTCCTGGCTGGGGACATCCTGCTTTAGTGTCTCATTTACAAACTGTAAAACATCAGGTGGATTAAATTGGGCAATGGCTACACTCTTTGGCACAAGGAAAGGTTAATTTCTAACTTTCTTGTTTATGTCTTCTCTCCAGTGCTATATTCCTTTATGGATAATCAATTCTGCGAAGTACCACTACATCATCCCTACAGGGCAGAATGATCGTATTTCTATATTGCTTGCTGGAAGAAAGCTTGTTAGTGTTGGCAAAGTGTATCTATTGAAAGTTTCTGTGCTGGACAGCTGGATAATGTATGTTCTCTCTGGTTGTCCTACACAGCTCTTTCTAGGACAATTTCTCTCTGGCCTTCCTTTATTAACCACAGACTACTTAATGGATGGTTCTTATATATTTAGAATTTTTTAAAAACAGTATCTCAGAATGCCAGAAACCATCAATAATTTATTTCCTCTTCTGCAAAGGAATTAACAGGGCTTCCTGCTACTGCTCAAAAGCTAACAGAGGCAGAAGGAGAACAGGAGAGGTACAATGCCAGCTACCTGGAGGGCTTCTGCTTGCTGAGTGCTAATTCGAATTTTGGGAATTCGGTAGTCCCAGGGAGTAACTAGAATTTTCTGAGCATTTTTGCCTTGAGATTGGACCTCTTCTTTGGATGGAAATGTCACCACATAATCCCGCCAGTTCTTCTGGAGGATGCCCACTACTCGGCCTTTGGGAAAACAAAACAAAATAAAGCATCAGATGGTTAGATGTCACCTATCTGGACTCTGGCTTGGCAGTAAGGAAGAGAACAAGAAATGCAATGTCCCATTCTTTTCTGAGCACATCTACGCAAATCAAGATATGTTTAAAGATTTGCCTTCTTAGCATTTTTTTTTTTAAGATGGATAATTTTTTAAAAATTTGTTGCTGTAGGCCGGGCGCAGTAGCTCACACCTGTAATCCTGGTACTTAAAGAGGCCAAGGTGGGCGGATGGCTTGAGGCCAGGAGTTGGATACCAGCTTGAGCAACATAGCAAGACCCTGTCTCTACAAAAAAAATTTACAAATTAGCTCGGTACGGTGGTGTGCATCTACTATAGTTCTAGCTACT